TATATACATATTTCCCGTATTCTGAATGATTTAATGTAATATTGGTACGTAAATACGAAATCTCTCTCTTTTCTCTGTTTTTATGATTACACGATATATACGTATGTATATTCCGAATAGATATCTGAAATTTAAAATTATTTAAAAAATGCAAACCAGACGCACTTCGTCTCGCGTTGTTAAAGACGATTAAACTACATTTTACGAGAATTGTTACGTTATCGAGAAATTGTATTTTTTTTCTTTTATATATATATACCGGGAGACTGAAATATTCCGCCGTGACTTTTTGACAAAACCACATTGACCCACATGTATAGCATATATATATATATATATGTGTGTGTGTGTGTGTGTGTGTGTGTGTGTGTGTGTGTGTGTGTGTTGCAATTTTATCGTATATCATGAGCGACATATCGCGCCGCTCGCTAATATATTCTGCGCATCACGAAGAGTTCAACTGAATCGTAAAGCGAAATTGTTAAAATGTTTATTCTTACTTTTTATACTCCCGTTTTCACCGATATCTTTCGCAGACATGACCGCAGAAGATACGATAGCTATATTGTGCACATGAGCTAACAACAAGTAGTATAATATTCACAAGAACCTTCTTTAAAAGAGTCTTTATATTCTCAAAAACGTAATTATTTCGAAAAATTACAATTGCTCTCTTATTAATCGTGAAAACACTACAATAGTGAGTCTCAAGATCGAGACGAGAAATCGATCACTTCTTCTCTCTCTCTCTCTCTCCCTCTCGTGTACTTTTAAGTATACTAAGTTACAAAAGCCAAATGTGCAAGTTAAATACTTATTTCAAATTTTTATTGCTTTATTAAGCTACATTAAATAGTGCATTTTTAACAATGAATGAGAGAGAGAGAGAGAGAGGTTTCGAAAAAACAGGGACAGCATTTATATAATTATATAATTACTTATTAAAATAATTTGAAGGAAAAGCAGAAGAGTTGGTATAATCATATATCTATTTTTAGCCACTATTTTTATAGATACATAATTCGACAAATGATAAGAGAACACAAGGAAATAAATAACTAAATAATATATGCGACAGAGTCATATAAAAACAACACGAGCTCGGTTAACTCATCAACTGCTACTCTGTTTTTCCTTATCGAACTTTCATCGTAAAACGTACATTTCGCAGTTTCTGAAGAGCATCCTTAAGTTTTTATTATCCCGGGAACAGGATCGTAGCAGTCAACGGGTAAATCGAGCGTCGGCGTAGAGCAGTCGCGCGTATTCCGAAAGAGAACCCCCGCCCTCACTGTCTCTCTGTCTTTCTCCTCCCTTCCAGTCTATTCTCTCTCTCTCTCTCTCTCTCTCTCTCTCTCTCTCTCCCCCTTTTCTCTTGGAACAGTCCGCGGCCAGGGGTAGCTCTCGGTGGTGTTACTGCGGGCGCGCACACACAAGCGAATGCTCTCCCCGGCAATTCATCGATAGAAATCGAACGTGGACATTTACGTACCTTTCTCGCGTATCCTGGATGACGTTGTGATTTTTCTCTCCGTCTCTCTCTCTGTCACTTTTCCTCTCTCTCTCTTTGGTCCTACCCGCCACCGATTCTCTCGTTTTCTCTCTGTTCCCGGCTCCTTCCTGGAATAATTCTTCGCTCAGTTCAGTCTATTTGATCGATATTCCGGGAGAACGGTTTCCAACAGAAGAACGGTCCATCCGCTCGATTCAACCGGGGGATCCGGGAGGAGGAGCAGTTAGGCGAGGCTCGATCCGCGCGCGAGAGATTCTCGTTCCGGTAAGGCGATGACAATGACGATGGACAACGAGCAGCACACACGGCGCGAGGGAGAGAGAGCGAGCGAACGAACGAGGGAGCGTGCGTGCGTGCGTACGTCGTGCTTGCTCGCTCGCTTACGTGCGCGCGAACGACAGATTACGGTACGTTATCGCGTCTCTCGCTCTCCGGCGGCCGTTCTCCCTCTGACGGTTCCTACGTCTGTCGCGTTTCTCGTTCGTTTCTCAAAACGAAGGGCGCCGATTCCGGCCGAGCGCGAATTCGACTCTGCGGACGATGACAATGACGATGGACAACGAGCAGCACACACGGCGCGAGGGAGAGAGAGAGAGCGAGCGAACGAGCGAACGAACGAGCGAACGAACGAACGAACGAACGAACGAACGAGGGAGCGTGCGTGCGTGCGTACGTCGTGCTTGCTCGCTCGCTTACGTGCGCGCGAACGACAGATTACGGTACGTTATCGCGTCTCTCGCTCTCCGGCGGCCGTTCTCCCTCTGACGGTTCCTACGTCTGTCGCGTTTCTCGTTCGTTTCTCAAAACGAAGGGCGCCGATTCCGGCCGAGCGCGAATTCGACTCTGCGGATCGCGCCGGATGGATACCCGGTCGCCGAATGACGTCGACGTCACGAACGATCACCACGGAACGACCGATCGCGAGAGACCGGGATACGTTCGACAGATTGACGGAGCCCTCTCGGCGACAGCTACCGGCTTTACAGTCCCCGTCGAATAATACGCGAGATTATCCCGGGTAAAACTCGCGCGCGCCCGACTTCTCGGTGCGAGAAATAAAAGACGCGAGGGAGAGAGAACGAAATGCTCCAGGCGCCGTGCTCTCCGAGCCCGAGAGTAAACGGCCGAGGGCTCGCCCGCTCGTTATTCCGAATCTCGAGGGGAGGGAGATGCGCGGACCCGGCAGCTTCGTGCTCCGCGAAAGTCGCACTCTCCTAACGACAGCGAGCTGGACGCGTACTGGCGACGACGGGCGACGGGGAATCGGCCGACGATCGGAGCGACCTCTCGCCCCGCCCGACGACGCCGCCGTCGCCGCCGCGCCGCGCCGCGCCGCGCGTCGCAACGCGCGATGTCGCCGCCGGCGCGCCGCCAGGAGGAGGACGTTGGTCGATCGATCCCGGGACTGGCCGGCGAGCCGACCCCGACCGCGACCCGCGACGTTCACCCGATGTTCGTCTCTCGCCTCGTGTCTCGTCGCGGGAACCCGACCCCGATCCGCTCGCGTGCGCCGGTCAAGTCGATCTCGAATCTCGAAAAGGTCCGTATGACATCGAATGACATCTGACGGCACGCGACGCGCGCGCGCGTCGAGGGGAGATCATTACGGGGTAGTAGATCATCGCGAGCCAATATGTCACAAATAACGCTATATTTATTATATTATATCATATAACACTATATAATATATATTGCGTTTTTATTATTATATTATTATAATTTTGATACATTTTTATAGGAAGCTGGGGATTCTTTTTAATCAATAATTCTTTTTTGTTTACGAAAATTATTAATGTCTCAGTCGCATTAGAAGTTTATAGATAACATGTGAGGATTATTGCAATTTATATATTTTTTTTTTTTATACGTGTAATCGTACTTTATTGATATATAATAACTATCGACAAAATGTTTTTACAAAATTGCGCACCTATAAATATATATAAAGAAATTGTTAGACTTACCTTGACATTATAACTTATTGTTGTAACGGCACACCACTAAGACGATCGATCCTGACGAGATTTACACGCGGTGCGACATTAGAAATCTATAAAATATTCTAAAATCATTTGAAACCGAATGACGTACGCAATGATTTATGCAGCTTGCACATATAAGGGAATACAGCTTGCTTTATTACCGAGTAACGACTTTATAACGTAATCGCTGATAGCGTAAGTAGTATTGAATATAATTGCGGATTAAAAATGCTGGTTACACAATAAAATTGTACGACAAATCTTTTTCAGATTTGTATTCCGCGTGCACGCGCACAGACATCATATACGATACTCTCGATCAAAATTCTTCTGGCTAGTAAATCGATTGCTTTATCTTAATTACACATGGTTCGAAGCAGGGACCAAACGTCGTCAAACTTTCAAATCGAATCGGCTGCCAATAATCCGCAATCTCTCTCGTGTCTCATTTAAACGAGAAAAAAAAAATGTCAATTTATACCAATCTAGTATTCAAGCCAATGTTCGATTGTTAAAAATCACGAATCAGGCGATGATAACATCACATGCTCTCAGCTTGCCATCGAGATTACATCGACTTCGATCCCTGTTTAGAAAGCGCCGTGCCGTCAAATTGCTCGCGTGTGTACCTTTGCTTATATTTACATATACATACATACTTGTGTATGTTTCATACACTCGAGAATTTCTTGAAATATCAGATAGAAGCGTTTTTGCCACAGTAATCGGAATCGAAAGCTCATAGCCGATACACCTTCGTGCTTCGAAGCTCGCCGCGATTGCCGAGGATTCGCATCTTCGAAAGCTTTGTGAAAAAAAATATATATATAATAGACGTTTAGCGCTGATAAGAATAAAAAGAAAAAGATGCACGGCAGCATCACATCGCTGTTTGCAGAACGTCGTTGCTTTTATTATTTATATATTTCGCATTTCTTCTTCTTTTTTTTTTTTTTCTCGTTATTACAAAGTATTGCTAAAAACTTGTTAACAGTATGAACTTTCGATTTGGTTTCTTTTTTTTTTTTTTTATTCACAATACAGAGTGTTTCGCTTGAATCACCCTGTACACATATTCCCTACGCGGAAAACTTATATAGCGACGACAGAGTGTTAATGTTTCTACTAACATGTCACGATTTCGTTACACACCTGACGCCACACAGCTCATTTAATATAACTACATCGTACACGTATAAAAATAACATTTCTATTGTTAAAATATGTTTCAACGTACTCAGAGCGTGTTAGAAACAACTAATTCGATGGCTGTCGCCATACTGTGTTCGCCCGTCTTAAAACTGGATTCAAGAGAGAGATATACTTGACTCTCGCATACATAAACTACAATTATATTTCGTCATATATAAAAAAGCATAGTATAGATATATATATTTTTTTTTACTGATGTGCATACCACACGCACGCGCGCACGTACGTAACAAAAGGGTATTGCAAGACGTATATACCGTGAATATTGATCTTTTTTATATGGAAATGCGAAACAAAGAATATTATAATCGTGAATTGTTACATATCTGTCTGTATCTATATAAATTAATTGAACAACATTTGTAACTCTCGTATCCGGACAAGCTAAATCTTTCTCTCAATTCCTCGAAATTTAAAGCTACTTTTTCTAAAATACATTTCTAGCTTCATAAGATTACATGTGATCTTTATGATAGTATAAAGACACAAATATATATTTATATGTGTATAATATATTTTTGTAGGACTCTCTCTTACGGAAAAAATAGCGTTACCCGTTTTTATGCCTTTAAAAAATAGACTTCCCGGATAAAAGTTAAACACCACAGTATAAAAATACGCGATTTGATTTGCCGTGATATATATATATCTCCATCAATGTATGAGAACAAAATACCTTCGAGATTGACTAGAATATCGTTGGCGTTACCGGAAATTATGCGCGTGCGTGCGTGTGCGAGCGCGTTGAAGTGCGAGTAGTCCCTCAAAGTTAAAGATAAAAGCGAAAAGGAGTGTTTACTGCCTCTCTACTTAAACAGGTCACCTTCTGTATACGCTAGTTACATTTTTTTGTGCACGAATCGTTTGAGTGAGAAGATCACGAGGAGAAATCTTTTCCGAGTGAACATTTACTATCCTTCGACGATCGACGTAGTTGGTGCATACTCTACACACGTATATGCATCATCGTGCTCTCATTATGAAAAAGGAGGAGAATACGTGTATCATATTCCTCCTGCTTTTCTCATCGATGCGGGGATACAATGCGACGCGGTTTCCTCGGCGCGCTAGGCTGATGAATTTTGGACGAGGAGAGAAACGAAAGCAGGTGTATACGATTCGTATCAAACGTATGCGTAAATGCACGTATATACATGTTCGCGCGAGTGTTAATTGAACGAAGACGCAAATAAAGTTACATTAGATAGGCACAAATATATATGTATATTACAATGTATCTTTATTACCTAAAATATATATGCATTTTGAAAGTATCGTGTCGAAAGACTTAGAAGGCAGGCTAGGGGCAAAATGACATTCGGGAGCCAATCACCGGAAGGGCGCGAACGAAAACGTCTCCAGGGACAAGAACATCGACGATCTACTGAGCACATCTCAATGATTCGGCTAAATTGTGATCATCACCGCGCCGGCCAATGTGATCCGATGTACAAGAATGAGTAGGCTATCAATTTGTTGCGCCGGTCAAATCAACAAAACGGAAATTTTAACAAATCTCGAAGTAACAATGACGATTATTCCCGAAATCAATTTCTGATCAGTCGAACAATATATCGTAGGTGAATTTATATAAAGGTCCTGGCGGGATAATCGCGATAACAACATGTGCGACGAAATAAAATGATTTATCAAATCATTTGGCTGAATTTATCAAATTCAGCCAAATCCATGCTGTATTCGCACATATTCGTATTATAGCTATATCTATATAGTACACAAAACAATAACACTAAAAATCATTTGATTCGGGTAATTCTATTTTAATTAATATGATTTTTTTCGTGTATATATAGTAAATTATTGTATTTAAACGCACGCCTAGCTGCATACGATTTTCTTATTTGCGATTTTTCTTCTCTCTCTCGTTTTTTTTACTCTTTAATAATATATAATATAATAATATACTATGTCGCATATAAAAAACAATTACTTAGTATAGAGTACAAGATCGCTTCTTAGTTAAGTTTACAGGTTTTTTTTGTTTTTCGCAACTATTTATATAAACGTAAGATGTCGTCCATCTCTAAAATGAACATGCTTCCGCCGCTCCCAGAATAATTAGAAAACCGAATTACAAAAAGAAATCGTCGCGCCGATTCGTCAAAATGAAACAAGTAATATTTTATCATTAGGATGTACGAAAGTTAAGTTAAAAAATTGTTAAGCCAATGCGAATGCGTAAAATAAACACGACTCAATTTCTCCGAAGCGAATGAGACGCAATGTATAACAATACGCGTCCTATTTGTTATTCTCTTCCATTATCCGAATTTGGCTAATGCATCTAATCAGGTTGAATGTTCGATAGATTTTCCATTATTGAATATACTTTAATACAGACAACCCGTATTTAAATGCAAATAAATTTGAGATTACGCGTTACTCTCATGCGCTGAAAGGTACGCAAGCTCATTTTCACTTGATGGCGATAAGGACAACATTTCTTACAGAAACGTCATTTTGCGCGGAGTGACTTTGACTGTACATTCCGTTTTATCACCAGTAACGTGTTCTCGTATCATGAAACCGTCGTATTGCACAATACTTGCGTCTACTAAACTGACGACGCTCGAATTATCGCGGTTTGAGATATTCGCGTGACGACATGCCCATATTGTCACGCGTATGTTGGGATAACGCACTAACCGCGATTAAACGACCGAGAGGTTCGCGAACCAAGATAAACCGTTGTCGGATAAAAAAACAAAAGAAAGTACAAAGGGGAGAAAAATAAAGGAGGATACAGAAAATTATATAAATAGTCACAACAATGTCAAAAACTTGATGTGGTCGGCCGAGATATGGCCGATCGCCGGGAACGGGGGATCAGCATCATCGTAAACTGCCGTTTCTCGCTCTTGGTCGGCATAGTAATCCCACCGTCCATCCCCGATTTAAGCTACAATTTGATGAGGTGTCATTTTTGTTGGCAGGTCTGAGCGTTCATCTTGCATGTTCGTGTCTGTGGTGTGAGATCGAGCCAAGGCACCGACGAATCCGGCTGCTCTAGCTGAAGAGGCACGCGACATCGCGATGTTGCTGCGTTAACAGAACAATCTGCTCCACGTTCCGCCTCCGCATCCTACAAGATTCGCTCGCTAAGTATATCTTTTGCAATCTTGAGACAGTTTACATGCATATCATAGCGAGAAAGAGAGATAAAAAGAGAGACACCCGTCAAATGCAGTAATGATTGGATCGCCGCGCTTGAAATCGAAACAATTTTCAAAATGGTACGTTCCTGAGCACTTCCTACCTTAATTTTTCTTTGTATGGAGTTTCCATACCTAGATAAAAAGGAAAATCCGCGTTATTTACCTAGAAGAGAGTTCACACTCCTTAAACATTTTATTCCTAACAACCATTTTAAAAGATTGTCCGCGATAGATCTTGCATTTTTTAAATATGTTTAAAACTCTTTATATCGAGAATAAAATTTGCGTTTTTTTTTTTTTTTTTTTTTTTTTTTTTTTTTTGGTTTTTTATTAATTGTTGGGATGGTTGCTGTTTTTCCAGATATACGTTTAGTCTCTTGGCCCTTTAGTTGGCGAGAAAAGCCAAGCCGTTTCGCGCCGCACGTGCATATACACGCAGAGCGAAATGCGGACTAAAAAGGTCGGACTTTAATTATTCGTACGTGTCTCACTTTATACAGAAACAAATTTCTAAGAGGATATTTTCCGATGAATTAACACATTTCACGATCCTATGCGCGAATAGAAATAAATGTTACTTACCATACTCGCGCTGGTAGAAGAGGCGGACGTGGTAGCAGAGGTAGGCACCGTCAATATTGGATAATATTATCTACTACTGCAAATCCGCAAGCCCCTAAGTTGGCAGTCGACATCGCGCGGACAAGATCTCTTGTATGGGATGCCGCGACTTCCAATGGTGGCCGACGGGGTAAGTTACTAGATTCTGTTAATCATAACGATCCAAATTTCTCTCTCTTTTTCTTTCTCATTTTTTCTCATAATTTAATGGACATATATATATATATATAAGAGATCAAGAAAAAAATTTCTTTTTCATATTATTGCGAAAATTCACTCTTACCGAGAAGAGCAGAATTCAGCCTTTGGCAAACTGTTTCCCTCTCCTGCGGGTTGAGTTGCCAGCCGACAGGTGAATTCCATGGATTAGAATATGCCAATAGACTGAAAGCGTCTTGCAACATCTTTTTATTGCTGTCATTCTTTCCGTACTGCTGTCTCAGATGCATCGATTGTGAGTACAATTGCCTGCCAAACTCCAACATTTTCTCGATTGCCTGTTTGTTACCGCCGCACAATTGCTTCTTGTTACTTTTACTTGTCGCACTATCAGTAATGTTGCTGCTTTGCTGCTGACTTTGATTGGCACTGTTGTCGATTTCTGCAAACAGATGTTTGTCTATGAACAGTACATTCTACATTTATCCAAGATAGCAAATCACATTTACCACGTAAAAGTATTTAAACACTGATTACATATACATTTAATAATATTGTTATGTTCTTAATTTGATTTAATTAAGTTTCTCGTTTTATTTCCGTCTATCACATAAATCCTATAAGATATTGATATAAAAGTTTTATCTAGAAGACAATCTATCCTCTACATAAACTATTCATATCATATTATCAACTATATTGAGATCTCACCCATATCTACATCCTCCCCATTTTGACACTTGTACCCATTCGAGCCCAGATTACCATTCTGATACCCATTACTGTTCTTGATACCGTTCACAGCGTTGACACCGCTCTCCTCCATGTCTACATCATCCTCTATCTGACCGTTGACAAACTGCGGACCGCTGGTGCCGTTCATCGCGTTATTGATATTCATCTCTTCCACGGTACCGGTCGCAGACTTCGCATACGCTTTGGTCGATTGTATTACACTGGTCTGATTTGGACTGCCATTCTGACAGACCTCCGAATCACTTCCGTTCACCATTTCCACGAATTGGCGGCACTTGAGTGCGAACAACAGGTTCGGATCCCGATCAAGCAAACCGGGGTATAATCGATTGGTCACTTCTATCGCCTCGCCCACGCGACCGGATAATACCAGCTTTATAATCCCTACGAATCATCATTGAAATATGGTGAAATAAAGGTGACGATACAGATTTAATAATAAAATTGCTACTCTTTGTGCCAACTTTTAAAATGTGAAAAATTTAGAAGAAAGTTATACAAGATTTTAATAACTTTTTAAAATCTTTTTTTATATCTTTCTGTTTCTCTAATTTCTCTAGGAAGAGAGGCAACCTT